TCAGGGACACAGCTGGGCCTAGATCTGCATCCTGGACTCCTTCCTAGTGCTCTTTCTGCCATGCCTCACAGTCTTCCAGGATGGCCAGACAGAAAAAATGGGAAGGAAGACCCAACAGGTAAGATCCCCGCCCACTCCCCGTCAAGTGTCCTTACCCCAGCCCACCCAAGCCTCTCTTCCACTAAGGAAAGGCTGAGATCAGAGGTGACCCAAGCACTCTGGACCCTCTCCAGGGCACCACGCTAAAATGCTTCACTCTGCCCACAAGTGCCCCAGACAGAAGGGACCCTGCTGCTCAAGGAGTGGTGCGGGTGGAAGACTGTACACCTTGAAGCCAGGGGTGAGGGTCAGCGTCCAGAGGGGGCACACACGCCACACACACACACACACAGCCCTGCCAGCCACAGTGCCTCAAATTTCACCAACGGACGTTCGATCCTTTGCATGTAATTATCTGGCCAAAAATTCAATCAAGATTCATGATACAAATCCTTATTACATGCAGATCACCAGGCCACATAAAAAAACCCAAGGAATTCCCAACAGTGGCAGCACAAAGAGTTAAAAGAACTTGAACTTCAAAAACAAATAGACCTAGAATCAGGCCCTGGCTCTGTCATTTTCTGGCCACAAGAATCTTGGGCAAGTCACTTCACCTCACTGGGCCTATTTCTTCAGCCATAAAATGGGAATAATAATAATAGTACATTCTTTTCAGATGTATTAAACATTCCTTTCACATTCATTCTTTTCAGATGTATCAAACAAACAAAAATCCCTCATAAATAAATAATAATAGTACATACTTCCCAGGGCTGTTTGATGGACAAAATAAAAACAACACATGTAGCTGGGCATGGTGGCTTATGACTGTAATCCCAGCACTTTGGGAGGCCAAGGCAGGAGGACTGCTTGAGCCCAGAAGGTCAAGACCAGCCTGGGCAACATAAGGAGACTCCATCTCTGTAAATAATTTTTTTTTAACCAGCCAGGCAGAGTAGCACACACCTGTGGTCCCAGCTATTAATACTCAAAAGGCTGAGATGGGAGAATTGCTTGAGCCTGGGAAGTGGAGGCCACAGTGAGCCGTGATTGTGCCACTGCACTCCAGCCTCGGCAAGAGAGCTGAGACTCTGTCTCGAAAAACAAAAATAACACATGTAAACCGTTAAGTTCATTGTCTGACAGATATTGAGAGCTCAATAAATACTAGTTATCACTGAAACATAATGCAACACAGCAAAAGCTTTCCAGGACTGTGTTTCTAATCCTAGGTCTTTATATCTGGAAATAGACAAGAGGTCCAAAATTTATGTACAAGGATGTTCATTGCAATGATTTCTATAGAGGCAAAACCCGGTCACCTAGCCATCCACCAGTGGCAGCGGATGGCTAGACAGACTCTGTGCAGTGTACCCAGAACATGATGTGACTAGTAAAAGGAATGCCATGGCTCTGTAAACCCCATCATGAAGAGATGCCCATGAGGAGTCAGGTGAAAAACAGCAAGTCCTGGAATAATATATGCAATATGATATTATTCGGTGAAGAATACCTATATTTACATATATACATTCATACATGTGTGTACTTGTATATGCACAGAAAAATTCTAGAAGGCTACAACACATGTCTTAACGCAATTACCTCTGAAGGCTAAGAAGGGAGCAGCCATTCTTTTACTTTATACACTTGTATAAAGTTTGAATTTTTTTCGTAGGTGGTGGTGGTGGTGGTGGTGGTGGTGGTGGTGTTTTGGAGTCAAGTCTCACTGTGTCACCCAGGCTGGAGTGCAGTGGCACAATATCAGCTCACTGCAACCTCCGCCTCCTGGGTTCAATCAATTCTCCTGCCTCTGCCTCCTGACTAGCTGGGGCTACAGGAGCATGCCGCCACCCTTGGCTAATTTTTTGTATTTTAGTAGAGATGGGGCTTCACTGTGTTGCCCAGGCTGGTTTCGAACTCCTGAGCTCAGGCAATCCGCCCACCTCTGCCTTCCAAAGGGCTAGAATTGCAGGCGTGAGCCATCGCACCCGGTCAGGTTTGTTTGTTTAAGAGACAAGGTCTAGCTGTGTTGCCCAGGCTGGAGTGCAGTGGCACAATCACGGCTCACTGCAGTCTTGACCTCGCAGGCTCAAGTGATTCTCCCAACTCAGCCTCCCAAGGAGCTGGGAGCACTGTGCACACTATCAAACCTGGCTCATTTTTTAAATTTTTCGTAGAGATGAGTTCTCATGTTGCCCAGGCTGGTCTAGAACTCCTGGGCTCAAGCAATCCTCCCACCTTGGCCTCCCAAAGGGCTGGGATTACAGGTGTGAGCCACTGCTCTCTGCCTGAATTTTTTTAGTTTTAATTAAGGACATGTATCACTTTCTAATTAGAGGAAAAAAGTATGAGAGACAGACAGACACAGAGAGAGAGAGAAGTGCTCATTCTCGAACATTCCATGCCAGCTCTCCCATAAGGGCCTTTGCACCTGCTACCTTCTCTGCCTGCATCACCCTCCTTCCAGATAACTGCAGGCCATGTTTCCTCACTTCCTTCAGGCTCTTTGCAGATGCCGCCTCCTCTGTGAAGCCCTCCCTGACTAGCCTATTCATAAAACAGCAATGCCATCTCCTCCCATGTACGTTCTCCCTGCCCTCTTCCCAGCTTTCTTGCCCTCCATTGTCCTCACTCACTCTGTGACATGCCCTTTATTCTATTTGCTGGTTAATTGTCTATCTCGCCCCAACTATAATGACAGCTCCAGAGGTCAGGGGCTTGATGTCTTTCATTCACTGCTCCTTCCCCAGTGCCTGGCATGTAGCGAATGCTAGTGTCCAGACAGCACTAGGTCACCAGCCCGAAAGATCAAGCTTTGAGCCATCTATCTTGACTTCGCAGATTTAAAGGGATGGGACTGTTGGCAATTCTGCTTCCAAGAATCCATCCTCTCGATATACTCACACTAGTGCCCAGAAATGTACATGCAAGAATGTTCAGTGCAGTGCTGCTCCTAAAAGCTAAAAACTGGAACTAACCCACAGACCTATTCATAGAGGACCAGCTTCATAGTTCCCGATACATCCAAGTTATGCAGCAGCGGGCAGTTGTTAAAAAGAATAAGATGGCCGGGTGCAGTGGCTCAAGCCTGTAATCCCAGCACTTTGGGAAACGGAGGCGGGTGGATCACCTGAGGTCAGGAGTTTGAGACCAGCCTGGCCAACATGGTGAAACCCCGTCTCTACTAAAAATACAAAAAGTAGCTGGGCGTGGTGGCACGTGCCTGTGGTCCCAGCTACTCCGGAGGCTGAGGCAGGAGAATCACTTGAACTCAGGACACGGAGATGCAGTGAGCTGATATTGCACTCCAGCCTGGGTGACAGAGCAAAACTCCATCTCAAAAAAAGAGTAAGGTAACAAAAGAATAAGATGAATCTAAATCCCTCTCATGAAAGTATATTCATGCCATAGACTTATAGAAAAAAACAAATGGCAGGACGTAGCTATCATTTTATATTACTAGTCAAAAAAAAAAAAAAAAAAAAAGAACAAAGCTAAAGCCAACCTGCTAGCAGCGACTGCTGCTGTGGAGAGTGAGATGGGATAGGGTGAGTGAGACATAGGAGACTTTTATTTTTATTTTTTCATTTACACACACTTCTTTTTTTATTATAAACTAGTATTATTACTTTTAAAAGTTATTTAAAGTATTTTTTTTTAAAGAGAAGGAAGAGGCGGGGTATAACGGTTCACATCTGTAATCCCAACACTTTGGGAGGCTGAGCCAAGAGGATCACTTGAGCCCAGGAGTTCAAGACCAGCATGGGCAGCATAGTGAGACCCCATCTCTACAAAAAAATACAAAAAAAAAAAATAGCTTGGCATAATGGTGCATGCCTATAGTCCCAGCTACTCACAAGGCTGAGGTGGGAGGATCACTTCAGCCCAGGAGGTTGAGGCTGTAATGAGCTGTGATCACACCACTGCACTCCAGCCTGGGTGACAGTGAGACCCTGTCTCAAGAAAAAAAAAAAAAAAAAAAGGAGGAGAGAGAAATAATCAGAACCTGGAGGAGAGTGTGTAGCCACTCCTGCTCTCCCTGCCAACACTGCAAAACCCAGCTCTCAGGGCACTGCCCCCTTGTTCTCAAGTCCTGGTCCCTGGAGCTGGATGATGGGGCAGGCCTCCCACACCCTAGCTCAACTATGATTTGTGTCTTCAGGACGGGGAGCCAGTATCACAGTGAGGGGTGTCCAGGGTCAGAAAAGGGAAGGTACAGGAGGAAGAACAAAGATGAATCCATACCCAACTCTTGTTAGGTATAAAACACTCTCCCAGTTAACAGGAGGGCATTCTAACTAGAGTCTGGAGATGTCACTTCTCCTACCTCTCTTCCTCCCTGCCCAGAGAGGACACTGCTACCCCCAGTCCAGAGGGAACACTGCTCACCTCCCTAGGCACCCCAACTCCACCTCCTGGGGAACTGATATGGTTTGGCTGTGTCTGCACTCAAATCTCAACTTGAACTGTGTCTCCCAGAATTCCCCCGTGTTGTGGGAGGGAACAAGAGGGAGGGAACTGAATCATGGGGGCTGGTCTTTCCCATGCCATTCTCATGAGAGTGAATAAGTCTCACGAGATCTAATGGGTTTATCAGGGGTTTCTGCTTTTGCGTCTTCTCGTTTTCTCTTGCTTCTGCCATGTAAGAAGCACCTTTCGCCTCCCGCCATGATTGTGAGGTCTCCCTAGCCATGTGGAACTGTAAGTCCAGTTAAACCTCTTTTTCTTCCCAGTCTTGGGTATGTCTTTATCAGCTGCATGAAAACAAACTAATACAGGAGCTCTCCCCAGACACTGCAGCCCTGACTCCAGTATCCCAAGCAGCTCTATCCTCTCCAAGACGTCTTCTGGGCACTGGGGAGAATCAGGCCAGGCCCGGAGCCCAGGCCCCCGAGCCCCATCTTAATGGCCCACTCCCCAGCTCATATCCCACTCCCTGGCTGATCACGGCCAACCTTCTCCACCGAGGCACTGGATTGAAACAACATATTCTTCTGCAATTCTGCTTTTCTTGTTTCATCCTCTTTGTAAATGGACTGTTTGCTGTGGATCTTGCCTGGCTGCATGGATGTGCCAGCAGCACTGGAAGGTTTCTGGAAAGAAAGATGGGCACCCAAGTCACCATGAGGACGTTTCCCTTCCCCATGGGGGACCAGAGACCAGAGGAAGATGACAAAAGAGCGGCCCTCCCGAGCCCCCGCAGTAGGCACACTGCCCTGGAAAAAGCAGCACTCAGTGGATCCCGGGAAACCTCCACTTTAAGTTCCCAGCAGTTCTGCTAGAGCAAAATTGGGGCAGAGACTTGAGTTTGCCTTTGGGGAAGACCCTTCCTTTGTCCTGGAAGAGACCATCCTGGTTAAAAATGAGGATAAAGGTCGGGCATGGTGGTTCACACCTGTAATCCCACCACTTTGGGAGGCCGAGGCGGGCAGATAATTTCAGGCCAGGAGTTTGAGACCAGCCTGGCCAACATGGCGAACCCTGTCTCCAATCAAAATACAAAAAATTTAGCCAGGCATGGTTGTGCACACCTGTAATCCCAGCTACTAGGGAGACTGAGGCAGGATAATCACTTGAACCTGGGAGACAGAGGTTGCGCTGAGCAAAGATCACACCACTGCACTCCAGCCTGGGCGACAGGGTGAGACTCCATCTCAAAAATAAAAAATAAAAATAAAAATAAGGATAGAGGGGCAAATACACCTATACACCCATTTCCCTAGATTTGAAAGCAGTGGTCTAACCTCTGATAACTCAAAGATGGTATGAGTGTCTTATGGTCAAGTGTACACATCTTACGGCAAAATTATATCCCAGCAGACCATGTTGGATCTAGGTCTAGACTGCCTTATGCCTAGCAATTATTGTGTGTTTGGGGAAGGTGGTGTTTCTCACTCAAGCCTCAGCTCCGAGGAATGGAAATCAGACTTTGACTGCAAGAACAATCTCACTGGTTCCTCCTGCCCCATACAAGAGATTATTGCACTGATTGTTGGAATACTGTACTCACTGCTGAAAGTTCAAAGGCGAGCCATCCCCTGCAAGTAGGGAAAGAGTAACTCCTCCTTCTCTTTCTCCCTATTGGCTGCAAAACAGAACTGTCAGCCATTCCTGGAAGGGCTGGTCCTGGGGCAGAGATGAGGCTCAGAGGAGGAGGAAAGTGGTTTGTCTGTATCTGGGTCTCAGACTCTTGCAGCCTGGTCTCCGAGCAGGTGAGGCCCCCATGGCTCCCTCTGCACCTGGGCCAAGGTCAGGTGACTTGCGCTTGAGGACTGAGAATGCAGTCCAGGATCTAACTTCCAATTTTAGGTTTTCAGGGTTGTGTTCTCTTTGGGTTCTGCCTTTCAGCTTTCAGACTTTTAGGCCTGGTATTAGCCATGCCCTGGAAAGGGACCTAGCCCCAGCTCCAGGTTAGACACAGTGGGACTAAAACCAGAGAGTGCCCTGCCCAGGCCCACAATGTTCGAAACAAGTGAGTTTAGGGACCTAAAGGCACTCTGGAAAAAGTACATCCCAGTAAGAAAATACACACACAGCAGGTGTGTGAATGCCGGCAGCTGGAAAGTGAGGGTAGCCTTCTGGTTGGGCTCTTGCTCCCACCTTCCAGGACACAGGCCTGACTGGCTCCTTGTCTCTCCAGCGCCTCATCACTGGGGGAGCCGACACCAGGCTCCGCCTCAGGTTGGTATTGGCCGCAGACTTGGGGCTGAGACTGGAGAGCTTCCTGGGGGTCTTGTATGCCCACTTCTCCCGCTCCACACAGGGTCTGATGGGCCCGTGGCTCTCAGGCAGGCAGTTGTTCACATCTTTCACCTGTACCAAGGAGAAAGCAGCCCCTAAGGCATTGCAATGTCCTAGAGGTAAATTCTGGGCTGCCCCAGATCAATGCCAACACCACAGGGCCCTCCAGCCCCCCAGGGCTTGCTTCCCAGAAACCTAGCCCCCTCAAAAGCATCAGACTAGAGCTTCTAACCCCATTCCTGGCCAGCTGCAATGCCCTGAGTACCCACAGGCAAGACACTGCTCCCATGAGGAACTCAGTCTCCTCATCTGTAAAATGGACAGTAGTTTCCAAATATTTTTGAGGCTTTCTTTAATCTCAAGGGAAGCTCCTCCGAAGCATAAAATAGACAAAAAGCGGAGCTATTCTCGGGGAAACCCCAACAACCAGAGCCCCCCTGCAGTAGCTTCTAAGCATCTCTCTCCAACACATTTGGAAAACCACTGGATGAGGCGGCCCCTAAGGTCCCTTCCTGCTTTGATCTGCTGAGATATGGGAATTTGGAGACTGTATGGGTTTCCTAAGTCCCTAATGGGGAGCCCAGAGTGGTAATGTGTAGTAGCAATGGGAAAGGAGTGAGTAATCTACTAAAGATGGCAGGACCAGCACTGCCAGCCTCTGAAGTCAGACTGCCTGGGTTTGGATCTACTCCTTGGCTGTGTGACCTTAGACAAGGTGCTTAACCTCCCTGTGCCTCCACTTTCTCATCTGTCCAATGAGGATAATTACAGAAACTAACCACCTACGTAACCAAGCTCCCCACCCCCTCCAGAACAAGCTGCCATTATTCCTCCTGCTTCCCAGGGTGCTCCCCACCTTCCCTGCCCCACAGGATTCTGGTTCACAGCTGAGAGAAGGGTGGGAGGAGAGTGTGCTTCTGTTAACATACCCTCTTGGGCTGCAAGGGCAAGGGACTCCTAGAGGCACTGAAGTTGAAGATGGGCTTGAGTGTGCCGGTGTTCCAGAAGAGGATGTCCCCACTGTAGGAGGAGGTCCCGAGGAACTGGTTCTGGTACTTGGCCATGCTTAGGATGTCCTCCGTGTGGTAGGTCTGCCAGTGGTAGCATAAGAGCACCGGCTTGGTCTTGTGGAACCTGTGCACATGGCCAGAGGCAGGAGGGCTGAGAGCTCAGCCTTTAATGCTCCATCCACTGGGGAAGCACTGGAGCCTTGAGGATTCTGGGAGCCGACTCAGAGGAGGATACTCCTAGGTGTCAGGGCTAGGCTGAGGCCATGCCCCATTGACCTTATTTACTAAGCGCTTACTACGTGCCTTCTGCAAAGGCCCTGTCGTAGGGGCTTTACATAAACTAATCCTACGGATAATGAATGCGTAACACACCCCCAGTCAGACAACTAGGTAAGGATTTAAAGGAGGGGGAAACAGTGGCCTTACAGAGGTCCCTAAAAAGAAAGGGATCTTGAACATAGTGTTCCTTCTGCCTGGAATGCTCATCCTATCCTAAAGACTTCACAGAGACCCTTCCTTCTCACGCTTCAGATTGCACTCCAGCCACCACACCTTCACCGAGACTTTCCTGACCACCGCCCCCAAGAAGAAATCAGGTTTCCACGCATTCAACCCTCATAGAAACTCCTGCTTTTCCATGGCACTTAATATACTTTATAATTATAAATGAAAGTATTAATATTTGATTAGTACCTGCCTTCTTGATATACACTGAACATTCATATTCTCCAAAAATTTATGTTAAAACCTAATCCTCAATGTGAGAGTATTCACAGGTGTGGCCTTTGGAAGGTTATTAGGATAGAAGGGCAAAACCCTCACAAACAGAATCAGTGCCTTTATAAAAGAGGTCCTAGGCTAGGCATGGCGGCTCATGCCTATAATCCCAGCACCTTGAGGGGCCAAGGAAGGAGAATTGTTTGAGGCCAGGAGTTCAAGACCAGCCTGGGCAACAGAGCAAGACCACATCTCTACAAAAAAAAAAATTTTAATTAGCCAGGCATAGTGACACACACTTGTAGTCCTAGCTATTCAGGAGGCTGAGGCAGAAGGATCACTTGAGCCCAGGAGTTCAAGGCTGCAGTGAGCTGTAATTATGCCACCGGACTCCAGCCTGGGCAATAGAGCAAGATCCTGTCTCTTAAAAAAATAAAACAAAAATAAGAGGCTCAAAGAGATCCCTTGTCCTCTTTACCATGTAAGAAAATGGCCATCTATGAACCAGGAAGTGGCCCTCAGCAGTCACTGAATTTGCCAGTGCTTTGATCTAAGAATTTCCTTCAGAACTGTAAGAAATAATTTTCTGTTGTTATAAGCCACCTACTCTATGGTATTCTGTTATAACAGCCTGAGTGAACGAAGACAGAAATTGGTACCAGGGGTGGGGTGCTATGGTAACAAATACCTAAAAATGTCAGAAGTGGTTTTAGAACCAGGTAATGTCAGCTAGGCAGGGTGGCTCACGCCTGTAATCCCAGCACTTTGGGAACTGAGACAGGTGGATCACTTGAGGCCAGGAGTTCAAGACCAGCTTGGCCAACATGACGAAACCCTGTCTCTACTAAAAATACAAAAAATTAGCCAGCTGTGGTGGCACACACTTATAATCCCAGCTACCTGGGAGGCTGAAGCACGAGAATCACTTGAACCTGGGAGGTGGAGGTTGTAGTGAGCCAAGACTGCACTACTGCACTCCAGCCTGGGCCATAAAGCAAGACTCTGTCTTTAAAAAAAAAAAAAAAAAAAAGTAGGTAATAGGTAGAGGATGGAAGGTCCATGCTAGAAAAAGCCTGCATTGCTACGCATAGACCATTAAGGGTGATTTCAGTGAGGGCCTAGAAAGAAAAGAGGACAGATGCAGAGAAAGCCTCAGTATTCTTAGAGAATACCTAAGTAATCCTGAACAGAATTTTGGTAGAAATATGGATGTTAAAGACCATTCTAGTGAAGTCTTGACAGAAATGAGAAACATGTTATTGGAAACTAGAGGAAAGGTCTTACTTGTTACAAAATGGCAAAGAACTTGGCTGAATCATATTTGTGTTCTAGTGTTTTGAGGCAGGTAGAACTTGCAAGATAAGAAATTGGATATTTCACTGAGGAAATTTCTATGTAACATAATGAAGGAGTTGCCTGGTTCCTCCTGACAACTCATAATAAAATGCAACGAGAGAAATGGTTTAAAAACCAAACTGTTAATCAAAAAGGAAGCAGAATCCAGGAGTACATGCCTGTAACCCAGTACTTTGGGAGGCCAAGACAGGAGGATTGCTTGAAGCCAGGAGTTTAAGACCAGCTTGTGTAACATAGCAAGACCCCATATCTATAAAAAAAATTTTTTTAATTAGCCAGGCATGGTGGTATGTGCCTGTAGTCCTAGCTACCCTGGAGGCTGGGGTGGGAGGAGCTGAGGCTGCTGTGAGCTATAACCGCATGACTACACTCCAGCCTGGGTGACAGGGTGACACCCCGTGTCTTAAAAAAAACAAAAAAAAACAAAAAAAAAAAAGGAAGCAGAACTTAAAAGATTCATCCTATCCATATAGAAAGGAATGAGAAAGCCTGTTCAGAATAGAACATTGATATGGTTTGGCTCTGTGTCCCCACCCAAACCTCATCTTGAATTGTAATCCCTATATGTCGAGGGAGGGACCTGGTAGGAGGTGAATGGATCATGGGGGCAGTTTCCCTCATGCTGTTCTCGTGATAGTGAGTGAGTTCTCACAAGATCTGATGGTTTAAAAGTGGCAGTTTCCCTTGCAGTCTCTCCTGCCACCATGTAAGATGTGCCTTGCTTCCCCTTCACTATGATTGTAAGTCTCCTGAGGCCCCCTCCTAGCCATGCAGAAATGTGAGTCAATTAAACCTTTTTTCTTCATAAATTACCCAGTCTCAGGCATTCTTTATAGCAGTGTGAAAACAAACTAATACAATCATTAAAGACATAGCCAAGCACTGTTTGATGAGATTAGTATGGATCAGCCAACCCAACAGAAGCCAGTGCTGTTCTCCAAGACAATGAAAGAATGACCCTGAAGGCAACTCAGAAATCGTTAGGACTGTCCCTCCCATCACCAACCCAGAGTACAAGGGCCCTGGGGGCAGAATGGTTCCAAGGGAATGGCCACCAGTGCCCATGGGACCACAGTACACTTTACCATCATCACCTAACTTCACAGGCTCCATTCTTCATGCTCCTTGACCACTCTAGGTGTGGCTCCTGTGGACCATGGTACAGCATGGGTTACACTCAGCAGAGCTGGGAGGACACGGCTGCCTCCACTACCTAGATTTCAAAGGACAGGGCCTCCCAGCAGAGCCACAGCCTTGGAATTGCAGCCCCACAGGGCCAGGGGGCTCATGCAGGGAAGTGCCACAGGGGCAGGGCCCAGGCATAGAGCCACCAGGGGGGCAAGGCTCCCCAAATCTGTAGGTGTAGGGCTGCCCAGAGTCTTAGGGTTCTGATCACCTGCCTGACAAAGCTGCAGGGGCAGAACTGCCACCCCAGCAGTCCTGAAGGGCAGGGCAGCAAGCCGAAGAGGATTATCTTTGAGATTTAAGGTCTACTAGTACTTGCCCCGATGGATTTTTGACTTGCTCAGGACCTGTCCCTCCTTTCTCCTTTCCTATCTCTCCCTTGTATCTATCCTATGCCTGTCCCACCATTCTATTTTGGAAGTATGTAACATGTTAGTATCACAGGTTCACAGCTAGAGGGGAATTCGCTTCAGAATGAATTGTACCTTGAGACTCACCCATATTTTATTTAGGTGATATTTAGATGATATTTTGGACTTAGACGTTAAAGTTGATACTGGGACAAGTTAAGACTTTGGGGGTTACTGGGATGAAATGAATATATTTTGCATGAGAGAAGGACATGAATTTTGGGAAGTCAGGGATGGAATGCCATAGATTGAATTTTGGTCCCAAAATTCATATATTGAAGCCTAATCCCCAAGGCGAGCATATTTGGAGGTGGGGCCTTGGGAGGTGATGAGGTCATGAAAATGGAGCCCTCATGAATGGGATTAGTGCCCTTATAAAGGACGCCCCAGAGAGATTTCTTACCCCTTCCACCATGTAAGCTTACAGTAAGAAGACAGCTGTCTATGAATCAGGAAGTGGACCCTCACCAGGCAGCAAATCTGCTGGCGCCTTGTCTGGAACTTCCCCATCTCCAGAACTCTGATAAATAAATTTATGTTGTTTATAAGCAACTCAGCCTATGATATTCTGTTACAGCAGCCCGAATGGACTAAGACATTCCCCCACTGAACTAGATACTCCAAGAGGATAAAGACTCCAACATTCTTGTTTATACCCATCCCAGGCACCTAGCAAAAGGCCAAGAATATATTAGCCTCAATGAATAATGAATGAATGGATGGATGAGCAGATGAAGCAACAGTCATTAACCACCACTAACTTCCTGCATGGTGTTCCAACCACCAGGAAAGCTCGCAATGGAGGAACCCATCTGAAGGGAGAACACGCAGCTACTGGGACCTACTCACCATGCATGCTTTCTACTCACAGAAAATGCGTGATTCTCTTACTCCATCCTGTCACATAGAACACTTTGTTCATATGGATAATCCCACTAATCTGTTGAAAATGAAAGAAAACAGAATTAGAAAACTTCTCAGAGAAAATGGCTCTGGGCCCTAAATGCCTTCCTAAAGGTGCCAAGCAAGAAGTCAAACCTCTCAATGATGATGAGAATCGCCTACAGTTGATACCACCATGTATTTTTCATCATGCGCTCACATCCTATTCCCTCATTTGATGGACTTAGGGTAGGCAGATAGGATAGGCATCCATGTCCATTTTTCAGAGAGAATAGCTGGGAAATGGGCAAGTGACCTGGCTAAGGTCAAGTCATTACTGAGTGATAGGATCTGGAGCAGTACTCAACCCCTGGCATCTTGACTAAGTACACTTTCTTTTCTTTTCTTTTTTTTTAAGATGGAGTTTCACTCTTGCAGCCCAGGCTGGAGTGCAATGGCGCGATCTCGGCTCACTGCAGCCTCCACCTCCCAGTTTGTCCTGCCGCAGCTTCCTGAGTAGCTGGGATTACAGGCAGCCACCACCACGCCTGGCTAATTTTTTTTTTTTTTTTTTTTTTTTTTTTTTTTTTTTTTTTGTAGAGATGGGGGTTTCACCATATTAGCCAGGCTGGTCTCGAACTCCTGGCTTCAGGTGATCCCCCTGCCTCGACCTCCCAAAGTGCTGAGATTACAGGCATGAGCCACTACCTGGCCAGCTAAGTACACATTCTGAGTTGGTTAAAGGTCTGTGTCACAAAAGTTAGGGTGGAACTGCTGGCTTTGTCCTATGCCACTCCCATGGACTGGCCCTATAATAATACTGTCAGGCATTTCCCAAATAGGGGTGACCACGGGTGGCTGTGAATTAACTGATCCCACTGCTAGAAATGCAATCCAAAGCTCCAGTATGAGGAATGAGAAGTGCTAGCAAATTTAAAGAGCAACAGTAGCTAACCTTAGTGGAAACCCATTAGTCCAGGCACTGTTAGCTGTCTTCATTTCATGCCTGAGACACAGAGGCTCCTGGAGGTTTGAAGCCAGGCCACCTGACTATGATGAACACCCTTTCAGAGAGGTCCAAAAATAATGCATCCCAGGGTCACAAGAGCTGTGCTTTGCTTCCCAAGAGGCTGTCCCTGGCTCTAGTTAACAAGCAAGACTGACCTCCAGCTGGTCCGGATTGGGAAAGGTCAACAGGCATTTGCCAATGTTGTAGTTCCACATCTTCATTGTGCCATCCCGCAAACCTGTGAGTAGGCACCGCTCTGACTCGTCCAGGGCCATGGCGGTCAGCTCCACGTGCTGGCCCCCAGACACAGAGAACTCCATCGTCTTCCTGCCCGACACGACCTCCCACACACTCACGGTGCCGCGCAGGCAGCCACTCACCACCTGTGGAGAGCACACAGCTGGGGGCTGCTGGAGAGGCCGGGGACTCTACTCCCAAGGGTGGTCTCTAGCCTGCCTTGGCCCCTCCCCTCCACCCACTGAAAAAACAGACGTTCAGGGCCCCCTGCTACAGCATAAGCCACTCTTGACAACAGGACCTCCTCTGCCCTGTATCACAGGGCAGTGCAAACTGGAACATTTGGTGAAGACCTGTTAACTCAGAAATGGCACTTACCAGGATCTAGCCAAAGAAAATAATCCCTATGTGGAAAAGACATTACTGAAGCAACATTAATCGTGACCACCCCATCAAAAAAATAAGAAATAAACTAACTGCTCCTAAGTAGGGAAATGTTGAGAATAAGGATGGTCATGCCACTCAATGAAACATTTTGCCACCATGACCATTTTATAATGCAAGAATAGCAGGTGAGGCCGGGTGCAGTGGCTCATGCCTGTAATCCCAAAACTTTGGGAGGCCGAGGTGGGTGGATCACTTGAGGTCAGAAGTTTGAGACCAGCCTGGCCAACATGCTGAAACCCTGTCTCTACTAAAAATACAAAAATTAGCTGGGGGTGGTGGTGCATGCCTGTAAGCCCAGCTACTTGGGAGGCTGAGGCAGGAGAATCACTTGAACCCAGGAGGCAGAGGTTGCA